TTAATATAATTTAACCAAGTTTTACTTTTACCATTTAGACGTCTATCTAAACTCTTGATTTCGTCCAGCAACCTTAGTCGAAACATTTCGACTTTTGGGTTTTCATTTCGACTTCATGTATAATATGGATGTTGAGCAGGAACTGGTAAATATTTCCTTCCATCTGAGCTTTAAAAATATCACATTTGACAGCATCATCGAAGTCTCTAACATTTGCATTTTCAAGAACAGTCATATGCCTTTGTGCAAATGATATTGATTGAATAAGCCTATCTAAATAATCATTAAAAGGTTCTTGGCCTATATAAGGCTTAGTTTTTGTAAAAACCAGTGCAATCATAATTAATACTGGTAAACATCTAACATTTGCTATATTTCCAAAATTTGTTCCTGTAAATATAAAATATTCTGATCTTTTTGCCTAATTATTAGCTGAAAAACAAATTTTTCATGTAGCAATTCACCAATACAGGTTTGTTTTTTTGCTATAATAACTAACATCCTATTTATCTGGTTTTGAGCATTGGTTTGTAACTATCAGGTATTTGCTGAAGGTGGTTGATATTTTGCTAATACAATAGTTGTTTAACAAATTTTTCTCGTAATAATTCTTGAATATGCCTATTTTTATTCTGATATGAGAAATGCTAATGATAAGATTCTTGTCTCTTATTATTAGAGCTCCTAATGAGTCGAGTCGAGTTGAATTTTAAAGATAACTCGACTCAACTCAAAAAATTTGAGTCGAGTTGAGTCGAGTCAAAAAATTTTAAAACTCTAACTTGACTTGACTCGAGTTATACTTAAATTTGACTTGACTCAACTCGAGTCAAATAAAAACCTCCAAAATATATTTGCTGATTATATAAATAATAAAATAATAAAATTATATTAATGTTTCAGAGGCTATTATCTAATGATCTACTGATAAGAATATCGTGAAATCTGCACTATCGTATTCGCCGAGATGCGCTCATCAAAATGATATGTGTTGTATTTTTAACAGATCACTAGACGCTGAGATATTCAAGAAAACATGTTAAAAATATTCAATTAAAGCTTCGTAACCGGTATGTATATTTTTGAATTCTGGGATTGTACCAAATTGAGTTACACGAGATTCCAAATATAGATGTATGGTTACACAAATTCATAAAAGGAAATTTTTGGCTATTGAAAAATTGAAAAATCACTAAATGAGTTACACAAATTTTCCAAAATAGTAATTTGTGTAACATCAATTCACGTGAGTCAACTCAAGTTAACTCGAATTGAAATGAGTCGAGTCAATTTATTGACTTGACTCGACTAATGACTCGACTCAAGTCAAATGAGTCAGAAAATTTTTGACTCGACTTAACTCAAACTCGAATCAACTCATTTGACTCATGTGTCAACTCGACTCATTAGGAGCTCTACTTATTATGATAGGCCAATACAGCCAAGTTTTACTTTTCTTGAGCATTATCTCTTTCCCTTATAACTACATCCCTTTTTCTCACATTTCTTTCAGCCTAAATTTGAGATTTATCTAATAAATATTGTAACCATAAATTCTGATTTCCACTATCAGTAAACTGATTCCTAAAATTATTTACTCACTAAATTGAATCATGTAATAAGTTCTGATATTGATCACGCTCAGCTGTAATTTTTTGCAAAGTAATCTGAATAGTATTTAATGAGCCTCTGATACCATCTATATTATTAGCAGGATTGTACCAATACCTCTAATATGATTTTCAATTCAGTTTAGTCCTCTATTAATATTTGCAATAAGATTAGCCATTGTCATATCTAAAGCATTTATTGAGATTTTTTTATGAAAATCTGGATCCTTGCTTTAAGACTTCTAACCTTATTTTTGAGTTCTATGATTTGGCTGTCCTGAATAGATGCTATTTTCTCTTTGAATTTTTTATCTTGCTATAAAACTCTAAGCTGTTTTTGCAAATCAGATATTTCTGATTTAAGTTTCTCTATTTCTTTCCCATAGGTTAGGATTGTTCTATAACATTGCTCATGCTCTTTTGCCAGAGATTGAATTTTTTCTCATTACTCTTATTAATATAAACTTCATCTCGAAGCTCACTATGAAACTTCTGATTTGTATCTAAAAGCTGTGAATATACCAGATTAAGCATAGTATTTCATTTAATTTATAGTAGTATTATTAATAATCCAGCCTTGAGAATGAGTCAACCACAAATTATAATAAATCCTAGTAAAGAGTTCTGTATAGTCTGTAAACTTTTGTTTTATAATATACCTGGTTTTTATTCTAATGCAAAAAAAATTACATAAAGTATGTCAAGAAGAAGAATATTCTTTTTGATTATAAGATATCACAAAATGGTTAAAACATCAATATAGCTACCAGATCTATCAACATCTATTATCATGTAAAGCTGAAGCAAGTTTCTCAAAAATTAAAATCCCAAATTAGGTCCACCAATGTGATATTTTGCTTCATACTCATGATGATCAAAATGGTAAAAGGGTATTTGTTTGTAGCTTTCTAGTCATAAATATAGTAACATGTTTTAAGACTAGGCATTCATTAACATCGAAAAATAGTTTAGAAATCTGGATCGCATTCAAAAAAATATTTGAGAATCCTTTTAATCCTCTCATATGGCTAACATTGTTAATGACTGATGATGATGCTTCATTCTAAGATACATTTTCACAAGGGATGTAACAGTATAATGTCACTATACGTGTTATTGTTTTAAGAGCTTGGCTTTTATTAAAGCATTCAAGAAAAATTTAGCAAAACCAATATATAAGATCCAATATGCTATAGAAGGGTGATTAGCTGAAGAAGAACATTCAAGACTCTGGAATAAAATCCTTCAAAAGTACATCAATTTTATGAATAATAGCAGAACTTGTCTTATCAGAATGTCACCAACTCATGCTATAACTTTGGATGAAGTTGAATTAAAACCTTTTAGTAAAGCTAAGTAGAGAATTGGGTGATATGAAGAGATAAAAAGTACAGCAGTTAGATATCTATTAAAATCTAACAAGCTAGAAGATAATCACAGATATCAGGCAACTAATCCATACTGGTTATTACGTATTTATAGAATCAAAAGAGTCATTATTAGAAGAAATCCACTACATCTGATCTTATATTATCTCAAGAATGAACCTATTGAATCAACTGCTCATTTGATGGAACGAAATCCTAAATGATCCTTTAAATATGAGAGCTTCAAATGATTGAGGATCTCAATAAAATTGAGTATCTACCTGATAGATTTATATGAAAATACCATCCTACTGAATTCATCTATTATGTTTAAGTTGTTAATGATAATTTAACCAAAGCCAATCAATATGCTGAAAAATGTGGTGATTAATTCCTTGAAAAACTAGATAAATAAATGGATATAATGTGTATATTTAGTCTTGTGAGAATGATGCATATCAATAGGAGTATCCATTAAAGTATATCATGAAAAAATTTGAATAGTATCCTCTTTACCAACACACTAGTGAAAGAAATTGCTGATATATTTTTGAGGATCTATTAGACAAGAAATTTCCATCACATAGGCTGAATTTTTTGCATGAAATGCAACTTGATAGATATAATGAAGAGTTGTAACTAGAATTCAAATTTCATGGCAGGCAATACTATAGTCTTAATTTAATATTTTATAGGAAAGGCCAGATAGATTTAGATGAACAAAAATACGTGATCAGAAGAAGTAGGATATATGCAAGAAACAAGATATATATCTTATTGAAGTTCTGTATACTGCTGATCTTTTTCCCTATATCAAACATAGGTTAATCGAAAAGGATTCTTAGATAAAGTGAAGTGGCTCAAAAGGACTTACTAATTCTTTGGAAGCCCACGTGATTTTAAGTGAACTTGGTTTGCCAAAATTTTACTAAGAAAATTTACTTTGCTTGATATAATATTAATAATACTTAGTTTCAATAATATGAAAGTCAAAAAGCTTGATTCAGCAGAAAAATCATTCTTCATATTAATGAGATTAAAGATACAAAAAAATTTAATGAATTAAACTCAACTTCTCAATAGCCTTTTATAGTATTAATCACTGGCATATTGTTCTACAAAAATCTAATTCAATCTGAATCTGATCTGGATCTGACAGATTAGATCAAATCAGATTTATCAGATTCGAATCAGATTCAGATCTGGATTTTGATTTGATTCAATCTATCAGATCTGGATCAGATTTGGATTTGATTTAATCTGACAGATTCAGATTTGAATTCAGATCCGATTTGTTAGATTTGAAATAAAAAATGCTGTCCCAAAAGTTAGACGCAGCATTTATTATTAAAAAAATTTAATTTTTAATAATAAAATGCTTCCCAAAAGTCAGATATAGCATTTATTATTAAAATTAATAAAAATTAATTTTTAATAATAAAATGCCGATCTGAATGTTGAAGGTGGATTTTTGTTAAAAAAACAACAAAATTGTTATTTTTTTAATATTAAAACCCGTTCCAAATGTCAGAAGCGGATTTTTGTTAAAAAAAAAATTTTATTATTTTTTAATATTAAAATGCCGTTTCGAACGGCAGAAGCAGATTTTTGTTAAAAAAAATTTTTGATCTGTCGGATACAGATACAGATTCAGATTTGTCAGATTTAGATCAAATCGAATTCAGATTTGTCAAATTCAAATTGAATCAGATTCAGATTTTTCAGATTCAAATCGAATCAGATTTTGTCTAAATCTGATCTGATCTGATCCGTGCAGAACACTGACTGGCCATACCAATTCAGAAAAAACTAATGAAGTTGTAAACCTATTATTAGAAAACAAGCTATATCAAATGTTTATCAGGAAAAAAAGAGGGACTAGATATAGGCCTTTGTAATAGAAAAAGGAAAAACAGCATAATATTAGTTTTTGAGATAAATTGGGATTTAGTAAATAAACAAATTATGCTATATGCAATAAAAATAGAACACATGATCTCCTCAAATCTTCAGATTTAGGAAAATTATTTATCCAGCAGTTTCTTTCCTTTCTATTGCAAAAGTTATGAAGGGAAACTGCTAGATAAACTATTATGCGATTGTATTTTAATGCATATCATAGATTGCTATTTTTTTTTTAAATTATTAAAAATTATTTTTTGCAGCTATTTTTTTTTTTTAATCACTTACTTTCATATTCTAATAAATTTGTTTATATAAATTACTAGGAATTTATTATAATCAAAAA